CATGATATGTCTAATACTCTTCTCTAGCACCACAACTCAAAGGCATCAATTTTTCTTCTGTAATCCTTATTCATTGTCCAGCTAGCTGATGCATTAACAAGTAACTGCAAAGACCATATCCTGCATTAGGTACACATAAGTCTCTAGACTGACATCTTTGCTTTTCAGCACTCTGGAGAAGTCCCTAACAGCAAACTTTCCTAATCCAATTCATCTTCTGATTTCCTGGCTGCTGATGCCAAGAGTGTTGACTGTGGAACTAAGCAAGCTGAAATTGTTCAGAGTCCTACTGCTATGTGCCATCAAGTGGACTATGACACATAGTGACCCTATGCACAATAGCTCTGAACTGTGCTCTATCCTGAGCCCATCTCATTGTCTCTAATAACTTTCATTACCCCAGTTATTGTTCAGTCCATCTCAGTTATTGTGTTTTCTCCATCAATCATGATGCTGCCAATTGGCCCGGGGGTCAGAATCTTTATTTTCTTGATGTTCAGCTTCATCCATGTTGCAAACTATAGTCCTTGACCCTTTGCAGCAAATGCTTCAGGTCCTCCTGTTTCACCAAGTTACATTGTGCCATCTATAAAATGCAGGTTGTTGATGATTCTTCCTCCAATCCTGATGCCACAATCCTCCTCCTAAGACCCAGAATCTCGAATGATCTGTTCTGCATAGAGAATAAATGTAGAGAGGACACATCCCTGACACACTCCTTTTCTGATTTTGAACCATTTAGTGTTTCCTTGCTTTGTTTTAAGACTGTCCCCTGGTTCAAATATAGGTTTCACATAAGCATAACCAGATGTTCTGGTGTTCTCACTCTTCTCAAGGGTAGCCACAATTTGTTGTAATCCACACAGTCAAATGCTTCTCTGGTACTCCCTGCTTCCATCCAAGATCCATCTGACATTGGCAATGATGTCCTTAGTGCCACAGCCTCTTATATACCCAAATAGTATTTCTGAAAGTTCTCTCTCAGTGTACTGTTCTAGATGCTTTGAATCATTTTCAGCAGGATTTTGCTTGTGTGTGATATTAGTGATATTGTTCTATCATTTCCATACTCTGCTGGATCACCTTTTTTTTTTTTTAATGGGGATAAATATAGACCTCATCCAGTCAGTTGGCCAGGTAGTTATTCTCCAGATTTCTTGGCACAGTCTTGTGAGCACTCCCAGGGCTATAACTGTTTGTTGAAATATGTCAGTTGGTATTCCATCAATTCCTGGGGCCTTAATTTTTACCAATTCTCTCAGAGCAGCTTAGACTTCCTCCTTCATCACTATTACCTCTTCAACACAAGTTATTTCATTAAAATACTTCTGTGTTGGCCAACTCTTTTGGGGACAGTGACCCCATGCAACTTCTTTTAATACTTTCTGGATCATTCAATATCTTGTCTACAGCATCCTTCAGTATCACAACTTCAGGCTTGAATTTGTTCTTTATTTTCTTCAGCTTAAGAAATGCTGAATGAGTCAGTCTCTTTTATTTTCTGACTCCAGCTCTATGCACATTTAATTACAGTATTTTAATTTTTAATTATAGTACTTTGCTTTGTCTTTCTGAGCTGTCCTTTGAAATCTACATTTATCTTCTGAATTTTTAGATAACTCTTTACCCATTATCCATCTAAATAAAAACAATATGAGATAGCTAGAGACATAAACAGGATAGCTTTTATAAGCTATGACCACCTAAGTTTTTAACAGGTCAAGTTCATGTTCAAATTTTATAATTCATAACTTAAAATATGAGAAATAACTATGTGTAACTGTTAAGGGTATTATTTTTTTTTCCCCTTTGCTATACTGGAAAGAAATCTTAATCTTTAAATTCCCAAATTGATCTAAAACACATTCCAATAGTTGTATATGGTAAAAAGGGAAGTTTTCTAAGAGATGAAAATCAGTCTGGAAGAAAACATTCCAAAAGCTCAAAATAAATTGAACTAAGATCCCTCTCCTTAAAGAAAACAAATAAACAAAA